TAGATAGATAGATAGATAGATAGATAGATAGATAGATAGATAGATAGATAGATAGATAGATGTTTAAATAATTTTGAAAAGTGTAAAAGTTACAAAAAGCCAGCTGCTTCACATATGGCTTATAGCAGAAGGATAGCCTGTAAGGAACATGTGGAAACGCAGCCAGATGTTTACCTGAGAGACCAGTAGAGGTGTGTGGGTGTCCCCCTCTCCCTCCTGTAAGGTGAAGCCCCAGGGCGCACCGCCACGCACAGTCACGCAGATGTAATCCCCGGTGCCCATGGTGCGTTCAGCTCCTCGGCCGAACCCGCAGAGTTGTGAGGAGGACCAGCAGCACCACTTTACACCACCGCCTTCCTCCTCCTCCTCCTCATCATCATCAGCTGAGCTCCTTGCGCTCCAGCCCCGCCTCATACTCTGAGCTCCATGTCTGTCAGCAAAATATCTCATGAACCACCGGACGGATTTGAATGAAACTCTCTGTAAGTAATCACTGAATGCTCAGCTACAATTTATTCACCTTGGGAGTCGAGACAATTCAAGATGGCTGCTCCAGCTGCGCCTTTAGCAAACACACTCATAAAAGGCTTTAAATCAGGCAATTTTGCATATACGGAGCTCAGACTTGGTTGGGTAGTAGCTGAGAGTAATCCCTAACACTCAGTTGGAGCTTAATGCGCATAGTTTATTTTATTTTAGTGAGGCTTTAGGGTTTCTAAGTCTAAAATACCAATAGTAAAGGTGGCGGGCGATAAGCATTCAATGTATAGACTTTCATATTATTTACTTGTGTTTACTTTTTACATTTTAACTAAAAGTAATCTATAAAGGGAGAACAGTATTGTTTTCAGTAGCACCTATAAGATTTATGTAGTTTTTTGCGCCTCGCAAGCTCAACTTCCGCTAAAATAATCAACAACGACCTATGATTTTTTTTTATTTTATTAAAATTTGCCTTATGCTGCGCGTTCCTTATTTCAAGTGACTCTGGTTATAATGTGTGCGTTTTTTATTTTTTAATGAATACATTAGGATTTTGGGTGTTCCTGGTGACGAAACGTTCTCTTCACTGATGCTGACGTGTATGGGTTCCCTCTATTTCGCGCATGCGTACAGAGTCGGCCTACGTTTATCAAGTTACCTACTAAAGCGGAAATACAACAATAAACTTTTTCATGGAACGCACCGTGTTCAGATTTAAATCAATTATTCGCTCGTAAAAAGATTATATTATTTAATAAAGGTATAAAATGCACATCTAAGAGAAATGGGGTGTATTTTTTTTGCGAATTAAATCTAGCGTTTACGTCGCTTTTCGCGTACACAAACCGTTAATTGTTTTATTTTTTAAACCTTAACCGGAAGCAGTTGTTTTAATATTAGCATGGACGATCTTCATCTTCCAACCAGCAGAGACCGGTGCTCTTCGGTGGTTTGACGTGGCACTCTGCTTCTACAGAAAGTAACAGACGGTGAGTGGACTTTGCCCACCTTTCAGGTAAGATACTATAACTAATTACGAGCCCGAATAATTCTTCCTCGGATAATTATTTTACACGGAGGGTTGACTTTTTGAAACGTTTCTGTCGCGGAGGAGAAAACTTCTTGTGTTTTCCGCGCAGCTAGCAAAGATGATTTTATAAATGTAGCAACAACTGATTTCAAGGCTAATATTTTCAGCACAGTTTTTTTTTATATGTACAAGGAGGTAACTTTCTGTGCATCTGGTTGTAAATTAATCTATTGTAAGATTTATTTGTAGTTTTTTTTGTCCTAACGGTGTTTGACGTGGCAATTGTCGGAAGTTGCTCGTTTTTGTTTCATATTCTTTCAACATTAAAACATCTGTATTCTCTCCTGGTGCCATCTGAGAAGGTCAAATGCGTCAAAATGCTTTATTTTCTAAAAAAATAAACTAACGTAGCCATCATAATAATAAACAATAGCTGTAGATTAAGTATCCAGCTGTTCTGAGGCCAGTTTTTAAAAACTTTACTGACTCTGAATTAAATTAATATTTATTTTGTTCAAGACTCATTTGTATCTTTTTATTTCACACAGAACTTTTAACAAATTAAAATTTTATATATTTAGCTTTAATAACCACATTAAAAATGATTCTATTATTGACCAAAATATATATTTTGCATCACTATATCTTAATAAATCTAGTTAATTAATGGTGGTTGTGACACAGAAACCTGTTGGTTACTTTAAATAAAGATAGGCAGCTTTATCTTTTAGTGAGCAGAGTCAAAGGTCTGCTGGAGAGCTCATGGTTGAGTGAGGTCAAATATCAGCTGTTATTTATATGTTTTGTACATTTGATTGGCTAAACAATCAATGGGGAGTGGTGGCGCAGAGGTTAGAGAAGATGGGCCTGCGATCAGAAAGTCTCAGGTTCAACTCCCCGGACTGACATCAAAATGTGGGTGGAAAAGGTGAAGCGCCCACACCTGCCTCCACCGTCATTTGCCCCACTCTGGACCCTTGAGCAAGGCCCTTAATCCTCACCATCTGCTCCCAAACGGGTCTCTGTTGAAAATGAGTTCCCGTGACTCAATGAGACTACCTGTATAAATAAAGGTTAAATAAATAAAAATAAACAATCGCATTTCTCTGCAATAGTCTCGAGTCGTGCTTTCGTTTTGAAATGTTTTGATTTTAAAACGTGCAATTTCGTAAACTGGTCTTAAATGAGTCTTTAACAAAATAAACAGGGATGACTCACAGCTACTACCACACCAACGTTCAGCTCAGTACATTTTACAAGTTTTAGAAGTTTTTGTGTTTTCTATGGTCAGTTGACTTTGGTATTTAATTGGCTCCAATTGAATTGTTGATGTAGGACATACAATTGTATTAACAGTAATAAAGTTATCATTAGCAGTATTAGCATTAACATTGGTAGAACTAGCATTAGCC